TTATTTAAAAAAAAAGTTAAAATATTGTTTACATTTTTTTACCAACTTACTATACGCTCCCACTACAGAGCTCGGATAAGTTACTAGGCCTTAGTCGACTACGCTAGCCCAGTGGGGGTTGGTTTCACACATATCGTTGCATTACTTCGCCGATATGTGCAGGCATCACTATGTTTTCCTTCACCGTAAGAACGTAGGGTAAATTTTGTACGTATAATGTTTGAAAATCGCTTTGTTACAGCGGGATTCGTACCTAGGACCTGTAGATTGTAAGTCAAATGTCACCAACACTCTATTGAATTGAACCATATAGAGTAAAAAATGTAAAAAACAATCTATGACAATGAAATTTTTATTTTAGAGGTTGTTAGAATGTCTGCCCTTGTGTAGTCTCTACAAAGTGTAGGTATAGTTTGTACCACTCTTCCATATCTATCAACCTTCGTATATGAATTCACTACCTTTTAAGTGATATTGTCTTTCAAACTAATTCTCTTTAATAAAGTTTAAACTATAAATCATAATTTATAATGTTACAGATATGATTTGGGCAGCGGAGAAGTGGTAATAATAGCGAATCATACAAAAGTGGACGACGGCCTCTGGCATAGAGCGCGCGCTACAAGGTCAGTACTACACTTTGAACAACGGCCCCTACGCAAATAGCCGTAACACAAAAAACGCATTTTTACACAACACTCATTTCAGTCTATATTAAACAGAAATGTTTAAAATTTAATAGCTTTATTTCATTTAAAATCATCACTTATGCAAGATATTTAAATTCTTATTTTGGTAATATTTAAAGACGTATTAGTTTAAAAAAATACAAAAGTTATTTTTCTCAGGACTTGTTAAATTTTTAGTTTCTTTCAATTTACTATGTATCTATATTTAAGTGTTAATTAAAATTTTCAGGAACCGTCAAGCGGGCGTACTGGAAGTGGACGGTCTGGGCTCCGTGGGCAAGATGTCGCCCGGAAAACTCAAACAACTAAATACTGAAAATGGACTTTATATAGGTGAGATAATCAACTGATATGAGGATAATGTTTTTTATTATAATTCCTATAATTTAATAGATTAATTTTTTTTAAGTACTAGCTTATGCTCGAAACTCCGTGGGCGCGGAATTTAAAAAAATAACAAAAGGAATTAGCATTTGTGTTCTTTCAGACTATGCTCAACTATAAAAAAATACATAGAAATCCGTTCAGCTGTTTAGGTTGCAAACTCTGACATATACCCATTGATCTATACTTTCGCGTTTATAATATTAGTAAAACAAGATGTCATAAGAACTTTAACAAAACAGCCACTTTATAATCTCAATTTATATCGAAATATTTAGCATTAATTTGTTTAATACTTTTTTTTCAGGAGGGTTGCCATCAATAGAATTGAACACGATGGGAAAATATAAAAGTGGTTTAATAGGATGTGTGTCGCAAATATCATTGAGTGGAGATTTTGATATACCACTGTCATTGTCAAAACTTCCCCACACAATAACAAACAACGTGGGGAGATGTAATCCATAATAAATGTTCATTTAAATGAACTCGAGTTCATTTAACATATCCAGGTTTATTTTGTACCAGCGAAGTTCATTTATTTTACCTATGAAATGTAGAATTTGTGTGCAAATGTTAGATTGTATTATTTATAAGCGCATTTAATTTTTATACGAAAAACAATTTAAATTTAAAGAGTTTTATAACTCTGAAAACATATCAAATTAACATCGTTGGCAATAACACTATAATATGTCATTTGAATAATGGTGTTGCCATAAAATGAACTATTTAAAACCAAACTAGTCAATTTAGAAAATAAGTAAGTTAACAATCCTTTTGTCGTTTCCGTAATCTTTTACGATTTCCTTCTATATCTTTCTTTTGTTGTCTTTTATTTCCATGATAATGGATAAAGTTTTCGAAGTGCTTTACTATCTAGTAAATATGAAAAGGACTAATTGTAATGTTATACTAAAACATAGTCGTACAAGTACGTTTGCACGCGTAATCATTTCAAGGCCAGGGTCGGATTAATGAAATACAAAAATATCAACTAGTACCATTTAATTCCTATAAATGAATACATTTAAAAAAAACATACTTTACACTTACAGCCTTACAAATAAACGTATAAAGTTAAACTTAAGAATGAACTGAGTATAAGCAAATATTTCTTATATTCAGTTTATTCCTAAGTTAAACTTTATACCCCGTTTATTTGTAAGGCTATTAAACTTTTAATTGAATTTAACTAAAAAATAACCGTACAGTTCAGTACAATCGAATTGTTATTTTACAATCACAACATAATTTGGTCGAAAATTGGTCGTAACATACAGATGTGCTAATTTATAGGACGTATAGTGACAGTTTACTATAAGACTGTAACTCCAAATAAATTCATTATTTGTAAATTGCCATATATAAAAATGTATGATATTTATTTCTCCTTTGTAAATCCTAATCCGGCCCTGTATACTAAATTAGTTAATGGAATAGATGCAATTTGTTACAAGAGTGTTTATAAATATAATTAATGTATACTTAGCGTTTATATGTGAGAATGTTTTTCATACGGACGTGGTTTAGAGTTACGTGATTAGATACTGATACAATAGTATTTGTGTATTGAATTGAGCTTTTATCTTAAGGTAAAAGTGTTGCCAGGTGAAATCAGTTGTGTTTTGTTTCATCTTTTATTTAATTTACGCATTTGAAGAACCTGTGGGAGTTTAAACTTGGATTTTTATTATTAAAGTTACATTTTTTATGTTAAAATAAGTTTTAGATTACCCCTTTATTTACAAATATTCCGTTGAATGTAACACAAAAAATCTATTTCAAAGTAATAATCATATTGCTTTAAGTCTTGTATTAAAATTGTTCTTATTTGTAATGACTTTAAATATTAAAATAAAGTATTAAAACTATATTGAAACCTGGCAACACAAACCGTCATATTTGTATCGTTTCTCTGCCGACCGCTGATTTGCTTTGCTTGAACTTTCCAACACAAACATTTGAGCACGGCGTAGTCATTGTTATAGATTTATATTTATCCAGTAGAATAATAAAACGCTTTAAATTGAAACTAGCAACAAAAATATTTCCTTTCATTGTATTTTTTTTTAATTATTTAATCTTCCCTGTTATATTTCATAAATGGTTTATAATAAAATTCAATTATTCTACTGTACATAAACAAAATTATATAAGTTTGTTGCTTTCGCGTTTCGATAACCTCTATAAATCATGTATTTAAAAAATCCTAAAGATTCCTAATCTTATAATTTGGAGAAAAAATTGGACCAAGGTCGATATTTTGCTTTAAAATAAAAATGTTTGTTACATTCATCATATTCTATTTAATTTTTATTATTAGAAATTTCGTTTTAAAGAATAATATATATTGCTTGCATATTCTGATATATGTGCATTTGGATAACCTTTACTTTAAACATTTCAATTATTATAATGAATCCGATCTATTTAATAATAGATGGGTCCTACACGTAAGTCGTTATATCATGTTATAATATTGAGTCATTTCACCAAAATGAATAAACAGAAAAATCGAATTACTTTGTTACGACATTGCGCGTAGGAACCATTTATGAATCCCTTTTACTGGGTTTTCTTTTACAATTTTTACCAATAATTTTTGTCAATTAAACATTTCACAGGGTTTCAAATTATTTATTATAATTATAATAATACATATCTATTACTTCTTTTCTACAAAACATTAATCCGTTTTTGAACATAATATTTTGTCAATTCCTACCAATCATTGTGTTGCCATACCATTACTAAGAAATAACCAAAAACATTATACTTAAGAAAAGATTGCTTTTTTATTATATTTAAGTTTACAAAATGAAATGTACCAAAGGAATAGTTTGCATTTAAATCTTTGTAATGTGTTTTATATTTTTATGTGTTCATAATTACGGCGTTAAAAAATGTAAGCTTCCAAAAACATGACATAAACAACGATTTGTATGAAGAACCAATTTATTATACCCATAGTTCTATAACGTATATAAATGTATGTCAAATATCTTTGTTTTTACCCAGCAAATTTTGTACATAGGAAGGCTCTTATGAATAAAACACTATTAAAACTCTCTAATAATTGCTTAACCGTAGGTGTTCACTGCCTATAAATAAGAGAGATGTCAATATTTTCTTACTTTTGTCATAAAATACCACACTTATAACCTGTCAATTTAATAGATGTCAGTATATCAACCGTGATTTTTAATGCTTCACAAAGAGCCTTCTTATGATTATATTTGTACCACGCGTTTAATGTTATAGAATGTTTTTTTGTCATTATGTACTTACATAGATCTACGAATAGGTTGATCTAGCGTTAGTTTTGTATGTGAAACCTGTCCGATGTATTATACGCCGTTATTTGTACAAAATTATAACAATAAAAATAAGAAAATTAATGTATTTTATAATTAAAACCTCCTTTGTAAAACTATAGGCTTCTGTCGAAATTATTTTAAAAAAATTATTGTTGTTTTTTAAAGCGAATTGAATGAATAAAAACATTCACTAAAATTACCTTTACATTGTGTAATAGCAATTTTACTTAAAACAATTTTTCCAGGCGCTACGAATATATTGCAATTAAAGGTAATAAAAAATGAGATATACATAAATAATGAGAATGGCCAAGTCTAGAAATTAAAAAACATCACTGCCCTACGTTTATTACTTTTACATGATGCAACAAAAGCATGATTAAATACTAGTTTGTCTGTTAATCTATCATAAAAAGGGTAATTTGTTCTTGCGTTATTTTAATAAATTCAAAATAGAAAAATGATTAATATACTACTATTATTAAATTCAGTGAGTCACAAGATAATTAACAATGACAATAAAACTCTGTCGTATTTCCCGCGTAAAAACCCCTCAAGACCACAATTTTATCTCGTTATGACTACATGTTGCCATTTAAGAAATCATGTATTACAATAATTTAATGAATCATCACAATTTACCACAAAGAAAAATGAAGCTAACTATACCTCTTTAATAACATTATAAAGAGGAAAGATTTGTATTTTTGTATGTAATGAGTAACGACCGATTTCAAAAATTCTTGTATCACTGAGTAACATAGACTGTTTTTTAATTACACGCCAGCGAAATCGCGAGCAATAGCTAGTAATTATATATTGTTGCGTATTGAAACGATTTGATAACTTCTTAACTATATTTATTAATTCAAGTTCTGACTTCACAAACCAACATCACCATAGCAACCTATTCTATATAACAATCAAAGAGTATCAAAAATCATAAAATCTGTTATAAATTAAAAAGCTTATTATCAAAGAACATCTACGTTACACTATGATGGCTATAACCGTACCAAAGTATATTCAGAGATTTGAAGTAGCAATAACACATTGCAACCTTTTATAAAACATAATATCGATTCGAGGAGAGAAAATTTTACGTTTTTTTTATTAGAACATTGCCTACTTTTTCTCGCGTATTTTACGTTTGCATCTTTGTTTATTTACGATTTTTCCATTATATAAAAACATTAATACATAATTCCCTACCACAAAGGAAATGTTTGCATTATGGCAACACATTGACAATCTGTGAATTAATTTAAGACTGGCGTCATTTTCACCCTGAGACGTCACAGCGTTATAGGGACAAAGCTTTTTTATTGTTTTGGGGTAAATCATATTTTTTTACCAAATTATTCATCAAACCTTAATAAATCGCGCAAACACAATTGGCTAAATACAAATATAACTTTTCTAGAAGATTTTAAAAACACCTTTTGTATCTTTAGTTTTTCTACTTGGGGTTGATTTAGAATTGCATAATATTAAGACAATTATTACAATAAATGTTGAATATCCACAACACAACATATCGTTTTGTCAACCTTTGCAACTTTTACATAGCCGTTCCTCTCTTCATTCTCGCATTAGGCACACTACACACATTACGATCAGAAATAAATAATCATTTTTTTACGCTAATATATACGCTAAATGAGATTTTTATGTAGAACTCGCATTGTCTTCCGTGGATACTAGAAATATACCAGGGTCACTTTAGGGTTCAGTAGTTTAATAAATGATACCATTGTTTCTAGAAAATAAATAAATCGCATAGTGTACAGGGAACTTTATACTGAGTCACCGCTTGCCTGATTGGTGGTTTCGCGCGACGCTAGATCGTCTAGTTTCTTCGCGCTACTTTAGTCGTGGTTTACAATTGGAAGTGGACGGAGTGTTATAGCAGCTTAAATTTTTTTTACGAAGTTTTACATACTTTCTAACAGTTAAAAGAGTATATAAAACTATGTTAGTGAATATAAACTTATTATAAAACATACTGTAATATCTTTTTGATTTTTTCATAAATTTTTGTGTTACAATTTGATATAACATTCCAACTGTGTCGTGTGAAAAGTTTGTTTTTAAATAGGATTTGTTTTGAATTGTGTTTAGAAACGTTACACACGTTTTATTGGATTTGAGACTTGCACTACGCCCGTTAAACCGGTTTTGGTAAGCATACCTAAAGTAGCTAAATCAACTTACAACAGAGCCTTGGAATTATGAGGCCGTAGTCATTTTTAACTGTTATTTCTAATAAGAAACTATCTAAAGATCATTATCATATATCAAATAATATTATTAACTATATTTAAATATTTACATTAATCAAAACCTTAGAATTTAAAGGAAAGTCATAGAAATAACAAGCCTATAACCTAACATTTTTGATTCAATAGTAATTATTTTAAAAGCATGTAAGAATAACGATTAACCTTATTCATATAAATTCAAACAAATCTTCTAAAATTCTAAATCAAGTTCACAATTGTACTATTGACATCAAGAATGCAACGACTTTCGTCAAAAATTTAAATAATGTTTATAGTTGGCCTACCATAATATATTTTAAGTAACAATTTACCACACAATAAAAAACACTTAATAAATAAAGGTTGTCGTCGATATCGTTTCGTAGATCGCGACTCGAATTATAGTCGAAGCGGGAAGAGGAAAATCTTGCAAAAAAATAAATGTCCTCCATGATTTCCTCTTCCGTTGTTGCACACCTTGTTTTTGACGATACAAAACGTTCGGAAACGTTTTGATACTTTGAAAATTAATTACTTAGACAGATTCCAACTAAGTTAACAAGAAATATTTTGTAGATTATAAACGAGTTTGGATTTAAACTTGGGCACATCGATAGTTAAAGAGATGGAATCGATTTTAATTTTACATACGTATGTTTACCTATGTTTGTTTTAGGAAATACTGTGTCTACTTATTTGTTGCGTAATTGTGTTACCAAGAAATACTTACTACTATGACTATGTGGACAATTAATAATTCGTGTTCTAAAAAATGTTTCGTTATCAACGACCTAGTTCAATCAAAGATAGAAGGGGAAACTATTAATTGGCAGTAATTTAAAAGAAAGAAAAAAACGTTATTTTTAAAATCGATTTGTTACGTTTCCAACCAGTGTAGTTTGCGATTTAGCTACAAAATAAGTTAGATTTTTATCGTTTTAAAAATAAAAACTTTTAAGACAACAAAAACATTTCCCTTTACTTACACTATATTGCAAATTAGTCAGTATTTTAAATACATTTAAGGTATTAACTTAAAAAAGGCACTAAAGTAAAAACTGAATCGATTCGCTTTTTTCGATTATTTCTTTTACTTGAATCGTTGATAAAAACCTAAAGTCGATAGTAAAGCATGAAGGTCTAGTTGTCAAGGATTTCGCGCGGCAACGCGACTTGACACGTCACTGACACTGTTTTTGGCGGGAACAATGGCGGCCGTTGAACAATTTATTCTTTAGATTTTTAATGGTTTCTGAGAATTTCCCGAGATATCTATCGCTCGCGAATTATTTTGTATGGAATAAAATAAATGAAAGTAGCCTTTCAAGATAGTAACTACCCCATTTTAGTTCAGCTGTTCTGGTGTAACGTAAATATCAATCCATGCAATCTTACTAATATTATAAATGCGAAAGTTAAGATGGATGGATGAATGTTTGTTAGGGTTTGTAGCCTAAACTGCTAAACGGATCTCTATGAAAATTGGCTAAGATGCAGAGGATAGTCTGGAAGAACACGTAGACTTCACTTTGTTTTTTTAATTCCACACGGACGAAGTCGCGGGCAAAAGCTAATATTTCCTATTTATAAGATATTGACCGTTTGCATATATATTTCTATAATTGTGTATTTGTTCTTGCTATAGAGAAATTTGAAAAACGATATTTAAACAATTTGAAGGAGAAATAGAATTACGCAAACGTATTTGACGTCTTTCGGTAACATTGGTTTCTCAAGATGTTAATAAATTGACATGATTGTAATTCAATACAATTTATTAACTCATGTTTGTGTATCATGTTTCATGTTAAAACGCAATCTTTGTTATAGAAACTTTATACTGAAACTGGCTTTTGCCCGCGACTCCGTCCGCGTTAATTTTAAAAGTAACAATAAAGAAATGAAAAAACATAGCCTATGTTACTCACAGATAAATTACCTTTCTAACGGTGATAAGATTTTTAAAATTGGCCCAGTAGATTTTGAGCCTATTCATAACAATCAAACAAAGAATTCCCCTTTATAATAGTATAGATGAACAATTGTGCAATATTGTCAATACAAAAGGTACAAATATACCAAAATTGGATCAACGTTCATAATTAACACTAACTACGAAATTAAACCGGATTTATTTGCTAACAAATACCAAAATCTAACGTTCAAAACTATTCTGGGGTTCAGCAATTACAAACATCCATCCACATTTTCGCAATCATAATATAGTAAGAAACATTAAGTAGATACACGTTTGTCGACGGCACTGTACTCAGTCAGGATTCCTAGTGCGACCTATAACTTCGATCGCGACTTCGCGACAAGACTACCAATTAAACAATTAACCTAAAGTCCTTGGTTTGTAAATGCTGAATTACTCTAAGATAAACAGGCCTCAGTATCCTGGTGATATCATCAAGGTGTCGATGACACCACGCCATTGTTGTGCGTTACGGTACTTGATTGTACTCTTCTGTACGAAAATGTGTCACGAAAAAAAGTCATGAATTTTAATGAATTAACTATTCTTCACGATTCTACTTAGAAAACTTAACTACGTTGTTTTTGTAAGGTCTGGATTAAAAGGTTTTTTAAAAGACATCTTTAAATTTAAAACTATGCATATATATAAAATTGGAGTGTCTGTTTGTAATATCAAAAGAAAAATTCCAGATTTCGAGAAGACGATGTATTTGCGTTGCTGATAAAAATAACATTTAAATTTTTTGTCTGTCTGTCTTTCTGTCTGTCCGCAAGCCGCGTTTCTCCTGGGTAATCTCCGAAAAGGCTTATCCGATTTCGACGGGACTTTCACTGGAGGGTAGCTGACATGGAGAGACATATTATAGGCTACTTTTTTTTAATTCCGCGCTGTCAAAATGGGGTAACCAATAAGAAACAGTAAATTGATGAACAAACCTTTTCTATTAGACGGTGGTAAACGAGTAAGCGGTCATATAAAATCACAAGTCTAAAAAAAAAATTAAAAATAGCAAACGCTGCTTCGTTATAAAATTGTCAATTTCAAATTAATGTTAACACTTGTGTACAAGATTGTACATTCGTAGAGACCTTCATTTCGATTCGTTCTACGCACGGTTTTCCCCATACATCACGGCTGAGAGCGCTCTATAATTACTTTA